CTGCCGCCTTTTTTTCCTTAAAGAGAGTAATCTGTCACATTCAAACAAAACGCCAGTGTTTCTTTTTAGTCGTTTCCATTTCACAGTTGGAAGCTTGCTGGCCTGTTGTTTACAAATGTGGAGCCTTTCTGAACGAGACACTGGCTAATCACTTTTTTTGTTACAAATGATGTTTAGAATCCATTTGACTGTGATCTGACTGATTTCCTCCATCTCGGTGTGATGCCATTATGCCTGTATGTATGGGTTTATTTATTTGTGGTTTTGTTCCATTTATTTGTTCACTGATTTGTTGTTTTAATTTATAAATTAATTTATTTATTGGTTTATATTTTTATTTACGTATTGTTTTGATTGATTTGTAGGGGTGCTCCGATCAGGATTTGAGGCCGATCACAGATACCGATCTTTTTAAAGCCTTCTTTTTATCATTTATAACTATTTATAGTGATTCTCCAATCAGGATTTTTAGGGCCTTCATTTTTAATTTTTGAAAATGGGGAAGCAGCACGGACTGTGCTTTCACACAGGAGTCTGCTACTGATCTGTGGCTGTTTACCACAAACACAACATTTATCCATTATTTTGATTTCAAATCCAAACATTGTCACTGAAAATGCTTTTTCAGGATTGCAATTCTTTTTTTTTTACACAGTACAGTAATACAATCTTTCACAGACATATTTAAATACAATAAATATAAGCAACACATTATTCAATGCTTTTTACTTTTGCATATACTTCTAGATTTATATATTAAGTTGCTCAAGCAAGTGGCAAAACATTTTAACTACATTTCTTACCTTATCACGAACTTACCATTGACACAAATAGTCAGCTCTACTGCCTTTCCTTTTGCATTTAAATCTTTCTTACAAGCAGTCCTGCAGTTCATAAAGAACTTTGTTTTCCTACCTCCACCAGTGCCATCTATTATTGCCTTCTTTATCTAAAAGTGCTCTTTCCCTTTAAACCTAGCCAAAAAGCCATATGTGTTGACTGTGAAACACAGTAGACTTTATTAATATGCATTTATGGTGTAATTACTACATTTTCGTGTCAATCCATGTTCATATTTACTGCAAACAATGTACTGTTACTTTAATTCAGTGCTTGCAGCACAGCAAAAATAAACTCTGTGCGGAAACGATCTCTGCTCTGCTCTAGATGCACCGCACTGCTGGACCGCAACCATGTGCGGTGAACGCTTTAATCCGTTAACATGAGCGTAGGAAAAAATACACATCACATACGCACTGCAAATGGAGTAATGTGAACCTGGCATTATGTATGTGTGCCGCATGCGAGTGTGTGGTCTCCAGGAGAGTGTGCGAGAGCGCTGAATGGTTAAACATTGGCAAGAATTAAAAAGTAATGCAATATATAAACTTTAGTGACGATGTGACACTGCCTCGATTGTGCAAGTGACAATTCCTGTGTCAAGTGCAGCGTGCAGCTCACTTGTAGACAGATGTGGTGATTTGAAGCCATTTACGTATTTTGAGAGAGAAAGAGACCCCCATTCCTGGTGGTACATTATCGCTCCCCCTGCTGATTAACAGGTTCTAGCTTTTCGCTGAAGCCAATTTGGGTGACAGAGCTGTTACTTGAACCTCCCCAAAATAGAGACGGCATGGAGCGAGATGAATTTTAATCAAGCCTATGCTCAATTAGACGCCACAAACGGCCGCCTCGGCATGAATATGAAATTGCCCTCAGCCTCGTAGATCATCAGCTACAACAATCAAAATTGATCTTCCTCATTACCAAAGGTTCAGGCACATTTCAAAGGCTTAATACTTCTCAAACAGTCATCAACGCTCATTGAATCCAAGCCGTTGTCCCCACAGCCATGATGTCATTGATTCCCCATTCTGTCCGCGGGAAAAAAAGACCAATCCATTAGCAGCATGCAGAGGGGCAGTTTCCATCTGACTGAAATGTAATTTTGATAGAGCGAGATCCTGTCAGATTTCCTCTTGCTATTGTGGCGGCCCAGCTGAAACTGGCCCCCTGGCCCTGGCCCTGGGTCTGCGGCTCTGGGAAAATTGAGTGCACTCCTGCAGAATTCAATATGACATGCTGGAAATAATGGGCTCCTGTCACACAGATATCCATCAGACAGCCCCAGACCCTTGTAGACATTCAGGTGCAATAAATAATAAATCATGTTTGGACTATATTAATAAGATCGCTTGAGAGATGGCCATTGATTTGGTGACTGCACGGTTTTCTAGCAGGAGTAGAGTGCTGACGTCTCTGAGATTTCCTTACAGGTTTTAGGTGCTTTGAAACAGATGACTGTTTGTTACCTTTTAAAGGGTTAGTTCACTTACAAATGAAAGTGGTCACCATTTACTCACCCTCAAGCCGTTTCACACCTGCATTTCTTTTTCGGAAAAATTAAAAACTTTTTTGCAATTGCTATGAATGAGGACTGGTGCTCACAAATGTATAAATAACAAATTAAAAGAAAAGAAAAAAATTAAATATAACATTTTATATATTGAGTCTGAGAAATCATGGAGAATTTGTTCACACGTTGCACATTTTTCACTTCATCTCTTCTATTCCATGAAATAAATTCATTTGGGTTGGGAACAACTTGAGGGTGAGTTACATTTTGGGGTATTTTTGGGTAGATAGAAGGCAAGACATCCTTGTTAAATAGGGAAAAAAAGTCATTTAATTGATATCACCATGCTCCTCAAGTTGATTGATTACATAAAGAACTGTATTATATGATTTCTGAAATATGTTTGTGGACTATGCAAATGAGGCACGATCTTATTAAATATGTAAATATGTGCTAGTTCATTTTGAGATATTTACCATTTAAGACACATTTGACATTTTAAATAGGTATTTTCAATGGGAAGGTAAAAATAAAGAACATGGTACCATTTTTATTATGGTTTTCTTTTTTAACTATAATTTTGTATTATTTGTTATTTAAATATGATTATTATAGTGCTAATTTAGCAGCATTGAAATCTGTTTGTCTACAGTGACGTTTGGTTCAAATCATGTCAGAATTATTTTTTTTTTTCTCATTATTGCCCAACCCTAGTTTTGCTATTAAACTGCCACACATCTGGTCGTATAATAGATCTTAAGTCAAGAAAAAAACATCCGCCAGTGAAAAACAGTAGGTAATAAAAGACATCGGAGGGAAGTTATGTTTGTGAAAGGAGGTATATTTACAGTTTCCATACACCTGTCTTTCTCTTTCCTGAGCCGCCTAATTGAACTATGTTGTCACTCTCCTTTGGCGGGATATGCTTCCTATTTTTAGACCTCCATTTCAGGGTGGCTGTGATGACTTCTATTTTGAAACCTCTATCGAATTTTCTTTCCTTAGCTCTCAGGGCTGTATTTATGATAAAGAAGGGCAGTCACTCTTTTGACAGCCTTTCTTTACACCGCAGATGATGGGGGTGAACCAGTTTTCACTATGAACTACAGTCTGAGGCCTTTAAAGATTGCAGTCTGCTTTGTAAAGCACTATCTCATGCCAACAAGTCCACTGCCAGGAAGAACTCAACCTTGATGCTTATGCAGTGACATCAGTGAGATAAAATTATCAAAACATGCCCTATTTAGTGCCACTTGAAAGATGCCACTTGCCGTTTCTGTTAGTCTGCTTGATAAAAAAAGAGGAAAAAAAGTCTTGTTAGATGATGTTTCAAGTTGACTTAAAAGATTAATATTATAATATAATCTAGAAACCAGTCACCACCTCGTCAATGGCATACACACACACACACACAGGTTTGTTTTTGTGAAAAGTGGGGACATCCCATAGGTGTAATGGTTTTTATACTGTTCAGATCGTATATTCTATTGCCCTTTACCAATCCTACCCCTAAACCTACCCCTTACAGGAGACTTTGCTATTTCAGATTTTCAATACACTCCATTCTGTGTGATTTATAAGCATTTTGAAAAGTGGGGACATGGGGTAATGTTCTGAAAAGTCACCTTCTCCTTGTAATACCTATGCCATACCTTTGTCATTGTACAAATTTATGTCCTCATTTGTCACAAAAACGTACACACACATACACACGCATACATGCATACATATGCACACACACACACATATATATATATATATATATATA